CCTTCACCTGGCAGCAGCACTTGGCCTGATGTACCCCAGGGTTCAGTTGGCCACTTGGGCTCCCAGGACACACTGCTGGCTCAGATTCCGTGTATTGCTATTGCTCTTTCTTTGATCAGCAGATATGAGTCTAGTGGTTACCAACCAAAAACTTCTAGGAATGCCATTTTTTTTACCCTCTTTCATTATTTTCTTTTATGATAAGCTTCCTTGAGCGATTTAGCAACCTTTGCCCATATGGAAAGGTGATAAAGGAGAATTCCTTTCAGCCTCTCTGGCAGCCTTGATCTGGGCAGTCAGTGTAACATAAGAAAGAAGCAGATGCCACTACACATCTCAGACTGATGCTTCTCTTATAATTACCCAACTGTCTGCAAACCATTCCTGTATGAATTATTCCTCTGCTCAAGTATACTTAGATGCCTTGCATCTCCTCTCATGGTTTCTTATCACAGTAAGTGTTTTCAAGTGTCATCCAGGGTTTTCCCTCAGTCTCCCTTTCTTTGTCCTTGCTGCATGGATCTCTAAAGGCCCTTTTGAGGCTGCTATCACTTGTTGCCTGAGAAATCTATGGGGAGCAGCTGCTGATAGGTCCTTTCTTCAAGTTCAAGGGCACACAACAACCTGTTACTCCAATTCCTGCTGGATTTCTGGGAGCATCTAGAAACGATGCCAGATGCATAGGACTGCGCTTGGCCTGCAGTCCATCTTAAATGTGAAGTACAGCTTGCTAAGGGCCATTACTTGAAGCAGTAAGAGCTTGAGTCAATTCTGGTTTGTACAGATGTTGAAGAGCCAGCATTAGCAGTAGCTACTTTAGAGGTTCTGTACCAATATATGCTTTTCTTAGTTGATCTTGGAGTGGCCGACAGTGATGGTGCAAGGGTTACTTGGTAACAACAGCACAGTACAAAGCAGTGCTTCATATAGGAGTAAACTTGGGGCACTGCTTCTTTCAAGACTAAAACCATAAAGTATTAAGCCTTTGGTTCTGTTGTGGCTTAATCCAGCAGGGAGCTCAGCCCCACACACCAGCTTGCTCACTGCCCTGCATTGGGGTGGGAGAGAGCATGGGAAAAAATGGAAGAACTCAAGACTCAACATAACGACAGATTAATAGAAGGAAAAATAATAACAACAAACAAACAAACAGAACAAATTATGCAAATGCAATTGCTTACCAGCCACTGACAAGATGCTCAGCCAGTCCTTGAGGAGGGGCTGCACCCTTGGACAACTCTCCCAGTTTTTTGTTCAGCATGAACAATATTGGATAGGATGGGACTTCTCTTTAGCCTGTTTGAGTCAGCTGTCCTGCTTCTGTCCCTTCCCACCTCTTTGTGCATCCCCAGTCTCCTCACTGGCAGGGCAGTGTGGGAAGCTAAAAAATTGTTGACTCAGTGTAAGTACTGCTCAGAAACAACTAAAACATCAATGTGTTATTAACATTCTCATTCTAAATCCAACATACCAGCCACTATTGAGAAAAAAGCTCTGTTTGGGCCAAAACCAAGACAGGTACTGATGTTCTTGCTGAAGATGAAACAAACAGAACATCTACAAGGTTAGGGAGACAGAAAAAAAAAAAAGCAACACCTTTGTTCTTTAAAAATAAGACTGACAACTGTAGTGCTTTGGTATCAGCAAGATGGTTATGTTTTATAAAACGGTTTACAGACTTGTCTCTATATTCTTTCCTCTGTACACCACATCCATTTTACTGTTATTTGATGCATTTTAGAGCAAGACTGTGTCATTCACAGTGCTACCAAAATATTCTGTCAAAGCTCCTAGCATAATCTGATTAAAAATTCTTGTAAGGTTTGTTTGTTCAGAAGCTTCAGTTCTCAATTTTGAGTAAAAGTAAATGTAATCACTGTAGTAAGCTAAATATGAAAATTAGCATTTGTCATTGATACTCACAAATCATGGCTATTCTGTGGTGCAACTAAGATAATTTCTGTGTCTACAAAGTCACTTTATTCTAAATATAGCATTTTCTAAAATAAGGTTTTCCATCTTAAAATGCATTTAATTGTAGTAGGCTTATGAAAAGCTTTCTGAAATCATCTTATATCAATACGTCTGCTAATACTGTGGATCTTATTAGATGGAGAAGAGATCAAAACACAGCTGTTAATATTAAGAAGTATAGAAGACTTACCCAGCACTGTGGCTTATTGAAAATTATTACTTATGCACATGGCAGTGATTTTTTCCATGAAAGAAAAGAGGTTTAATAATATTAATGTCAACTGAAGAAATAGGAAAGAGTCTTTTTCTGTGTATAAAGTGGTTTTTCATCTTGTTGCAGCCAAAGTTGCTTTCCCCTACATCCAATTTCTGATGCAGGTAAAGTGAAAAGAGGAAGAGTGCTCTCCTGAAATGCTGGGAGGAAGGTGACAAAGTGGCTCAAGAGATCTCCTTCTCATTTCAAGAGATCTCAGTTTCTTTCTGTCCTTCAAGTTATTGTATACCAATCAGTAATTAAATTTATGTATTTTTTCCTGCAGTATTTGTAAATCTTGCAAATGACATTTTTTTTCCGTAGGAAGACACATCAAGATGTATTTTTCAATGTGCATTTCAGAGTTAGAAAGGAACTCTTGCTAAAAGTGTGTTAAAATATTTAGCAATCAAATCCGAGCTTATTTGGTTCACCCTTTGATGCAGTCCAGGTAGATGTAATAAACACAATACAGTACACAAAATATCAAATCCTATTAGCAGGCAGAGCTTGGATTTAGCACTACCCTGTGCAGCTTCTTGGCAACCCTGAGATGGACAAGTGTGGGTTTATGTGTGCTGCAGTGTGCCACATGAATATGGAAACTCCTATCCCTGCAAAGATCTCGGATGTGGAAAGGAGTAAGGGAACTAATTAGATAATAGCTAAATGATCTATTCATTTCAATAAAGATAGGTCATAATTCTCTTAATTTATTTCACAGAGAAAACTAATTACTTTTAATTGAGTAAGGACAAATTACGATGGCTTTTTTAATGAGTAAGTCCTACTTATTTCTGCCCAGAGACTCAAACATTGTTTTACAGAAGAATAATCTTTTGCTTTTGGCAGAAACCCTTATAGAAAAACATATGAGAAGGCCTGTTTTCATTTTTTTTAATACTATCAACCTCAAAAAACTTTCTTTGGGGGATTTTAAAATTTATTACGTAAAAATATGGCTTTTTGTGAAGCATTCAAGAAATTAATTGACATGAAACAATTGCAGTTGCCCAGATAGCATAAAAATGGAAGTGAATTGCAATAAGAGAGTTTAGGAACAGAAACCTGACACTACAAGTGAAATCGCTGAAGTTCTTTGAATAATCCTTTCAAGTCTGCTTTCATAAATTCAGAAGATGCTGTATACATAGTGCCTTCAGGCCTTTTTTTCAGTTCTTCCCTTCATAAAGGAAAGATTTCTCACAGAAGGAGAGGAAGCACTCTGCCTTTTGATAATGATGGTCTAGGGAGAGAATTGAAGTTGCCGCTTTCTATCACCTGAATTACTGCTGAACAAATAATAATGAACAGCAGGTACATTTTTTTTCTGGATTAGTACTTCCATCAGCCACTGTCCTCAAACTCCCTATTAATTTCATAGTTATGAAATAATAGCAGTCTGGAGCAATTTCTGTTTGGAAATATGCTTACCTGACACTTGTTGGAAATTCATGATAATGTCCAAATAACACAGTCTGTCTGTTTCTCGTACCATAATAGACCTTATCTTTTTGCATGGATGTCACTGTTAGGAATTTAAAAACTAAATATTTAAAGATATTTGATGAAAATTATTTTCTGCAAATTGCAAGCAGTCACTGGTTTGCTTTTTCTCTGCTTCCCTGCCTTTCACTTTATTATCCCAGTCTAACTTCTACTTTATCTGCTTGTTAAACCATCCCCAGCATTGACATTTCACCTTTTTCTCTGCAGCAGACTATCAGCCTGCCTTTATCTCCGAGCTTAGCAATACCATCAAAGAAAAGATTTTTTCATACCCAGCATATTACATCTTAGTTGTATTTTATAATATTATCTAGTATTCATTCTAATCCATTAATTAACCCTAGAATCTATTTTGAAAATAGATTCTAAGATGTCTTTTAAAGTAATAATTAATAATCCTGAACTGTGTCATTTTATTCATTACTTTTACCCATAAATAAATGACCAAACATGACTTTCTTCTTATAAACCCATGCTGGTTCATGTTTTCCACATAGCAGACACCCAAGTGTAAAAAGTCTAAAATGAAAAAGCATAAAACCAAGTCATAAAAATAGCGAAGGTTTGAATTCATGAGCTTGAAAATTATGAAAATTGATTATCAGGTAAACTAAACCGAGTTTGAAGTTGGTGATGTAACAATGGAGATTGTATGCAAGGTATGCAGAGAGAAGGATCAGCTTTATTCAGGAACACAGAATTTATTCTGTAGTTGAGACTCAAGTGGTCTTAATAGGCTTAATAAAAGCTTATTTGAATGATGGAATAATAATATATTAATGTATGTTGAAGCATAAAGGGCAAGGTCTCTTAAAGATGATGTGTGGAATGGTCTGTAATCATAATAATTGTCATGGAAGATTTTTAAAAGAACTACTAGCTAAAGTGGTAAAATGATCTGAAATGCATGCAAGGTGATATGTTACTTATTTTCCTGGAGATCAGTTCTGACATAAACCATCTGTACAAATTTATGAATGTTTTTGTCTTTAGCCCGTATATGTCGTCACAGAGAGCTCTAGTTTTCTTTAAATATTTGTATCGTTGATGGAAGATTAATTGCCTCTATATATAGTTATAAAAGATACATGAAACCATTTTTAAAATGCCACGTGAGTCAAAACTTCTATTATGTTCTAACTGGATTAAGATGTAGTAGCTTTTAAAAAGTACTAATAATTTAATTATCAATAAATATTTTTATAATAACAAAGCATACACAAACTTTCATTGCATCAATATTTCTCCTTTCTTTTTCCCCCAGGACACAATATAGAACTATGATAGCAACCGGAGGAGTCATAACAGGACTGGCTGCCTTGAAAAGGCAAGACTCTGCCAGATCTCAGCAACATGTAAATCTTGCTGCGGCACCAGCTTCTGAGGAGAAGAAACCAGTCAGACGCCGACCCAGGGCAGATGTAGTCATTGTCAGGGGCAAAATTCGACTTTATTCTCCATCAGGATTCTTCCTTGTTTTGGGAGTGCTTATCGCATTCTTGGGAATTGCAATGGCCATCCTTGGATACTGGCCCCAAAAGGAACAGCTTATGGCATCTGAAGATAGTGTATCAATTAATGAAACCCAGGTCCTAAGAAACCAAGGAAGCATTTTACTTCGTTTCTTTGAGCAACATGTGCACTCAGATAAGATGAAAATGTTGGGCCCTTTTACCATGGGTATTGGAATCTTCATTTTTATTTGTGCAAATGCCATTCTACATGAAAACCGCGACAAGGAAACAAAAATCATACACATGAGAGACATATACTCCACTGTAATAGACATCCACACCTTGAGGATCAAGGAACAAAAGCAGTTGAGTGGTGCCTTTGCTGGTTTGTTAGGGGAAGGAGAACTCAGGCACAGTGGGAGCTTGTGTGCATCCCGGCTGGCCGCTAACACAGTTGCACCTTTCTCTGGCTTCAAAAGTAATTTTAGAATGGATAGTTCTGCTGAAGAAGATGAAATTACTCTAAATGAAGATAGGACCACTGCTAGCCTACTACCACCTCTGCTGACTGACCAATCTGGTTCAGTCTTTGGACTTTACCCTCATTCCAGCAAGGCTCCAGATGACAAAAACACTAGTTCTATAAAGTGTGAAACAAAATCCATTGTATCATCTTCCATTAGTGCTTTCACACTGCCAGTAATTAAACTGAATAATTGTGTTATTGATGAGCCCAGTATAGACAACATAACAGAGGACTCGGAGATCTCAAGGAGTCGGTCCAGAAATCTCTCGATGGACTCTTTGGCCATTCCATTAACTGACACCAATGAATCCTGCAAGCCGGCCATGCTACCACGACATAATTCATTTGTGGACACTCAACACGACCAGTTCAAGTCTTCTGTGATCCTTGGACCAAGCACAGGAAAGCTTTTATCCCCTGGTGCTGCCAGGAAACAGTTTGGTTCCAACACATCTTTGCATCTTCTGTCTTCACATTCAAAGTCCCTAGATTTGGACAGGGGTCCATCTACACTCACTGTCCAAGCTGAACAAAGGAAACATCCCAGCTGGCCCAGGCTGGATCGGAGCAACAGTAAAGGATACATGAAATTAGAAAACAAGGAAGACCCAATGGATAGGTTACTTGTGCCACAAGCAGTGGTAAAAAAAGACTTTACCAATAAGGAAAAGCTTCTTATGATATCAAGATCTCATAATAATTTGAGTTTTGAACACGATGAGTTTTTGAGTAACAATTTAAAGCGGGGAACTTCAGAGACAAGGTTTTAATATTTCAGTTGGAATCTACAAGATAGCATACAGTATTTAAAAAAAAAAAAAAAACATTTTGACAAGTGTTTCCTTTTCAGTGAAAATTGTACAAGCCTGTTTTTAACCAAATGCTTAATAGCATATTAAAATTGGCTTGTGCAAACAGATCTTCATCTTTGTTTGGCCAAGTTTTTTGTCATAGTATCATACAGTTGCAATATTGTACATTATCAGTGCTCAGAAAGTTTTGGTACAACTGTTCCAAATTTTTTCCAACTCATTTTTCCTTATGTTCTATATAAGCATGTTAGTTTCTATCAATTTGACTCCAGAAGCCTGCATTAGGATAAAAGTTCAACTCACTTGTAAGTTCTGTTTATTGAACGACTGCAAGACTCTAAAAATTGTACTCATGGTCTAGAATGGGAAGTGAGCCGCAGTACGTACTGGAATTGTTAAATTCAGGCCTTTATTCTAGGTGTTGTCTTTCACATATGATACATCTCAGTAACTACAATCTTGCCACTGTCATTGTGAGAAACTTGTTTACATATTGAGGTGGGTGGTTAGAGAAGAGTGGGTATAATTAAAAACATTTCTGTGAATTCATTGTTATTGATCAAGTTGAATACTAGTGTTGTGAATTATTTACTATGCTTTGTACAACAATGTTTCTACATCCATTATAATTTATATAGTCCAGTAATTCCAGGAAAACATATTAAAGAAATCTAAAAATCCTTCTGGGGTTAGCTCTCTAAAGCACTTTGATTGGCAGCAGTTTTAAAATCAAACTGAATTTTAAAATTTAAAATCAAACTTGGATTCATTTAAAATCATAGGAACATAATGATAACATGATTTTAGAAATGTGATATATAGTAAAATGATTGTGACATAATTATGAAGAGAACAATGGAAAGTGAACATATTGCCTCTCAATAGCAAGAAAAACAACTAGATCTCTATGGTCAAAATAGCTGATACAAAGCATACAACTCAATATGCTTTCTAACACAGTACAAAAGCCCCTTGCCTGAATTTTGCTTTATATATTTCACATAATTATTGGCATGGTGGATCACTTAAAGCTTAGCTGGAGTAATTTGCATTGCAAGATTTTGCAAAAGTGTGTGACATTTAGAACGGTGTTTTTCTCATCAGAGCAAACTTCTCAGTTGGCAGTTGTAGGCTGTTCATAAATAAAGTGAGAATTTGAGTGTGCATACCAGAAAGTTTTCATTTATTTCATTAAGGTATTTAGGCTTTAATCCTGCCATGACTGCCGTGATAGAGTATGTCAGTTCTGGTTGCAAGGCTCACCTAGCAGGATGTTGGTCTTAAACGGTCATTTTGGATATATACTCTTAACTTAAATGCTCAGGAATTATTTTAAAAGGCTTTTCCCAAAAAGAATCAAACCCACAAAAATGTTGTTGTACTTCAGTTGGTTATGAAAGATCAAAGATAAAAATACTCTTTTTTTTTTTAATATTCAGCTCCGAGTTTCAACTGCGCAATGTTTATGTATCAGGAGCATTACTTGCTCAGTGAATTGAGGCGTAGTGTTAACTATTAGAACCTCAAGCCTATATATTGTAATAAAGTTGGCTAAATATTTTGCTATGAAGCTTTTAATAACTTTCTGGTTTGTGTTCTTAAGACATTTGCTATTTTTTGAAACAAAAATAAAATGTGTATCTACGTATCTGCTGTGAGACATTTTTTCCTCAATAATCTCAATTCTTCCATATCAAAGTATTATTAGGTATCATAATTCTGTAAATAATATTATGCTAAATATATTAGCCTGCCACTAGGTATTTGACTATGACTATCAGTAATACCTCTACATGTGTATAGGCTGACTTTACTGCACTTCTGATACTTATTTTTTTAACGTAGTATGAAATTTATTCAAAATACATTTGATAGAAGGAAACTTTGTATTAAAAGAACATCCTGTTCTGTTTAGTTTCACAGTAAGGAAGCTTAGAAACATGGAAACTACTACTAGACACAAATGATGTAAACTTTTATTTCATGAATAGCTAAATTAAAAGTCTTAGCTTGAAAGACTGTTTTTTGCTCACAGTTGTATGTGAGAATAGTTCTTTTCATAGGTATGTCAGGTCTTGGGCTTTTAATTACCACATTACGTTATCTGGTACTGAAAAACTTATGACTTCAGAAAAAAACACCTGCTTGGAAAACCAAGGTGAAGTAACTGACTTAAATTAGCAAGCAATTGAAATAGCAAATACAAAGAAGTTGTGTGATTGACAAACTGACTACAGAAAGATTCCCAAATTACCCTAAAATGGAACATTTCATTCAGATAATGACATACAGGATAAATTCCAGAAAGGATCTCATCTATTAAATATTAAGTAAATGATAAGTTTTTTACTTATTTACTTCAAAGTAATGATAACCTTGTTTTACTGGCTTCTCAGATCCCAGACTTTAAAGATGTGTGCCAAATCATTCGTAAGGCATAAAATCTAAGGTGCTAAGTCTGATGAAAGGTATAATGTTTTTAAAAAGTTTTGCAGGACTCTCTTTCTGCCCAGATACACTAACCACAAGGTTAGGCATCAGTCTGGAAATGAAGGGTATTGCATCTTTCCGTATTCCTTGAATGGTTCTGACTCAGTGTCTAGTCAGAAAAACTTGTAGACATTCAAGAGGTGTGATCACTAACCTTCATATGTAGAGGTCAGAAACCTCATGAGGTGCAGCGGTCTGAACTCTCTGTAGCCCAAGTTCAGATGGCAAGTAAGGACCCTGGTGAAGACAGGAATGTGTCCTAAATCTTGTTATCTTTAGAGCATAAATGTCATATTCACTCTCTTGCTGATTCAGTTCACAGACTTTTTTTATGAATGTTGCTCCTTTCTGTTATTGATGCTCTTTGCAGCCCTACAGTAACAGTACAACTGCAGGATGAAATAAAAGCCCAAGACAGGAAGTTTTAAAGTAGCTTTCTTATCAGGGAAAATAAATGTACAACTGCACAACAAGCCTTTACATGCAATAAGAAGCTTAGCCTTGTATCTGGCATTCTGAAGACGTTATGTTACAGCATTTTGAAAATATTAATCCAGAAGAAAATCATTCATGTTGTACAAGCAATGAGCTCAGCTCCTTCCTCTGCATAAGACCATTTTAAAAAAAATGCACATTTTCTTTCTCATACATAAGCATCTTAATCAGTTTGTGGCTTAGGGTGATGTTATGATCTGTCTCTTCCTCCTGACAAAGCTCATCGGGCAAGATATCATTAAATAAAGAGTATAGCTGCAGTGATGGAAAAGAAAGGCTGAGTTGTGTTATCCCTTCCAGGATTGCTCCCGTTCTTCCCGTGGAAGTGCTCACTGGATAAAAACCTTGAAGCAGGGCCTGTGCTGTAGCCACACTGATATTTTAACTGCTCCCCTGCAGAGCTCAGTTCACTCTCCCTGGGAGCCAATAAACTCAGCTCTTATGCATGGAGTGGAATAGAGTTCAGCAGCTGAGGCTGTTAAGCACACCAGCTGCAAATAATATGGTTTAATAAAGGGGAAGGTCTTGGCTTGAGGCTTCTCAGCAGCAAAAGGACTTTGTATGGTGTTTCTTGTCCTGACAGTGGCTCTGATGCTTGTGCTGTGTAAAGGATGGAAAGGCAAGCTGATGTTCACCAATCTGGTTCTGAAGGGAAGTGGAATGTAATGTTATAAAAGCAGAATTTTTGAGGCTACTGGCTTTGGAGGTAGGCATTTACATCTGTCCTTAATCATATACTAGACAGCTACCTAATTTTGGTGCAACTATATTAGAGAGACTTCAGTAGATGCTGATTTTAAAATATAGCAATGCTAGTCCTTTAGTTTTCTCCTGAGTGAAATTTGGGAAATAGTTTTAACTTGTAGCGTGTCTTCTCTCTGAATAGCTTTTAAGGTAGATTTTAAACTCCTGGATTGCTTTAGTCTTAAATTCCTACAGATATGTTTGCTCTTTCTAGGAGTGTTTCTATGGTCCTTTTTGGGAAATTCTGCTTTCATCTTCCTAGCACTACCTTTTTTTGTTGTTTTTGATTTTTGTGCCGAATATAATATTATCATGAATAAGTAGAAATACTTCAGTAGGACTGTGTGCATGCATACATGAAAATGCAAATGGTGTAAGTGGTCTATTATAATACTTCAATCAGTGCTTCAATTAGTATGACGTAGCTATGCATAGGCAAGTTCATGCCCTTTGTCAAAACCAAACTGGGGAACGAATTAGCTGCAGTTATCACAGATACCACATGTTAAACATTCAGTTGACAGTTATTAATACTTTCATCAATGTTCCCTGTGTGACATTGCTGAATTGTGTTTCAGGACTCAGTATTTTGAATTAACCTTGCTGGAATACTTTATAAATTCAATAAATCCCAGTCAGTAAGATTTATCTCAATGACAGCAGAATTGCAACCCTAAGTGTCATAAAGAGTAGAAATCTGAGAGTTACATTTCTTTATTTTACAGTGGTTTGTTGACATTAAAGTATTGGAACACATTGAATGGAAAGCAGTATATCTATTTGTTGTTAGTTCTAATTCTGGCAGATGATGCTTGCTTTGTCATTTTGAAAATTTTATCTTTAATTTCATTCCAACAGCCAATTGCTAGGCTATTAAAAAACACACACACACACACACACACACACACACACAAAAAAAAAAAAAACAAACAAAAAAAAACCATACCTGGAATAATCTTGTAGGTATTGATATTTATTTCTGGGGATTTTCTATTTTTAAATTTTTAAATTCACCACACTAGTTGCTCAGTTACCCTGTGATTCACTGTAGAACAGCTTAACGCAGATCTTTCTATTCTCAGAATAGTTTTATGCTATGTAGGAAATATTTGTTTTAATCTCTGAGTACGCATTTTTTCACTTTTATTATTAAATTTCAGCTCATTAAGACAACTCAGTTTTTTCTTCTCATCACTCTCTTATTAACAGTACATCCCTACTCAGGCTACATTAGCTGTCAGTGCAGCCCAACAGAGCAGATCTGCAGCTGGAGATGGGGTCCCACTATCCACACCATATGCATTTCAGAGGGTTTTCTTCAAACTAGCTCCCTCCTGGTCCTGTTAGACTGAAGGCCCACTGTCCACTGAAACATGTCTCATGCTCCTGGAACACATCTTGTTTTCCTCTCGCAGGAACCAAATCAATGCTATAAGGTTGTTCTTTGATGCAATGCCACATCCTCTGAGGCACCCAAGGCCAGGTTGGATGGGTCCCTGGGCGGCCTGATCTGGCGGGCCGCAGCCCTGCACATGGCAGGGGGATGGAACTGGATGGGCTTTAAAGTCCCTTCCAACCCAAGCCAGTCTATAATTCTGTGATTGCGTGAACTGAAGTGTGGTACACGTGTCATATGATAAGATTAATTGCATGATGGATCCCTGAAAAGCTCCATTAATTTCCTCACTGAAGCCTCGTGATATGTACCCCTACCAGCCCATCTTGCCACCTCTGAATTTGACTGTGAATAGTCAGCTCATTTTTTTTCTCCGAATTCTCTTAATTTTCAGTTTAGCTAATAACTTTCAATGTATTTCCAATGTACTATGTATCAAGCCTTTTAGAAGACAGATATTACATATTTTACCTAGAAAATTGTTATTATTTCAAAAAATATTGATTTAATGTGATATGATCTGTCTTTGACACATCTCAGCACTTGATCTTATTCCCCACTCTCATTCTTAGTTTAGGTCTTTGTCTTAAGCCTACGATCCTATCTGGATCAGGCCATGTGCCAGGATATGTGCCCAGATAGCTCCTGTCCTTTTTTCTGCATTCTGTAAATGCAGTTTAAAAGATTACTATTATTACTATTTTTCAATAATTATTGGCTTCCCTCTCTCTCAACTCACTTATTGAAATTCCATGCAATGATGTGTTTTCATTTGCCAGTTTCTTCAGGCATCTGTAACAGAGATTATGTGCTTCCACAGGGTGAGAGCATTCAAGGCTTTAGCGTTCTCACGGGTGAGGATTTACACATCTTCTATTTTCACACTTTTTTTTCTTCAATTTTTTCACACTTTTCTATCTCCCATTTCCAGATTTTTTTCCTATTATTCATCATACCTTTATGCCATTTCAATAGTGCACACAGCTGAAAAAAAAGAGACAAAGTTATCACTTAGGTGTAGGCTATATCTGGAATGAGCTTGTCTCTTTTTATGTTTTTATGGATTTTTTTTTCTTTTGCAGTTTCTTTCTTTTTAAATTAGGTTAAAGGGTAGTTAGGTTTTCAATTCTTTTCAGAAGCTTCCTACAGTGAGGGTGCATGTTTGTATCTGTTGGTTTGAAAAATGTCTCCTTTACCTCAAATCCCCAGCCTTCTTGTCTGGCTGATTTCAATAATTTATTTTCTTCTGAAGTTATTAAGATTTGTTCAGCTGAAATCAGCACCTTACTTGGAGTCCCTTATAGTTCATCCTTGTTGCTTGAAGTTAATTGGATCAGCTCAGGGGTACTTGAGTGAGTGTGTAGGAGCATCTTGTTTATGACATACCCAGCACTTCACAAAAGCCAATCAGTGTTTTCTGTGATGACTGTTTTGGTGACATCTGTTCACTCTTCTGTCTAGGTATCTCTGTGCTTGGTTGTCACAGCCACTATTTGTTCACAATCTTTTTGTTTCTGGGAAATTAAGTTTTCTACAAGGTAAGGACAAAAAGTCAAAGTGAAGACAAAACACTAGTCAATGTACATCTGCTTTTAGTTCATTCATCACAGGGAAAAATATTCTCGTGCCTTCTTGCTATTTTCTTTGGCTTTCTGGAGGCTTAAATATTTGTGCACTGTATTCTTGAAAATAGCCAAAACTGAGTATCTAGGATGAGAGTGTAACTTTGTTACGCAGTGGAAAACATTATTTTCAGTATTATTCTCCATACTTAATTGAGTCACTTTTTCTTTGTCGTATTTTTCCAGTGGGATGCCGTCACTGCTGTGTCTTGCTTTTCTGTGTAAATGCAGTTAGTTTTGAAATAATTGCAGTACAGAACCACTTCACATAACTTTCCATGGTGCACATCATTGCATTTTTTCGAATAATTCTAAATTTAAATATATCCTATTCTACCTTGAAGGAATATTGTTCCAGTTTATTTTTATAATTGTCTAGATGAAGCCACTAGTTTTTCAAAGGTCTCATTGGTTTCAAAATTATGTGAAGAACAGCTATTATTAAACAGAGGTTGTAATATAGTTAATTCATCTTGCACCTGTACAGAATTCATTATATTTTAACAGACAAAAAGTACTCTGATACACATAGTGAGTACATTGTATTATCTCCAAGCAAACAAGTGTTCTTCATTATCTCTTTATGGGGAGCAGGAAGGGCATTAGAATTATAACTAAATTAAATGACAGTACTCTTTGAATCTTATGCAGAGGAGTCAGTTGAATACAAAAGATTAAGAGAGGTTACGAATTAATAAACTGAACATTAGATTCTCATTAAACTATGCTTTCTACATTTGTACGCTTTATAACTAGTGCTGAAAAGGTCTCTTATTGTCAGAGAAAACACTTCTGGTCATTCTTCTAAATAATAAAGTACGTTTGTTTCTTTTCCTCTGACTTTCTGGATAAGTATTTTTTCCTATGAATGAAATCAATACCTGTGATCTAGACTGGCAGTTTTGCAAAGCTTTTGTGCCTTTTCTTCGCATTTTGTTTTACTCTACATTTTCCTTTTATTGGTAGAACAGGTTAGGGTATTTCTGGGAGTCATTAGGAGTTCTCTGATGTTTATGTCTACGCTAAAGTAATGCTTCAGTCTCTAGTTGCGTAATTGATTTAAGGTGACTAAAACTTGTCTGCCAACATACTCCCACTCCCTTCCATCTTTCCAACCCCTTCTACATGATCCTGCTCCTTAAACAGCTTTGTGGTCAACGAGACCAGGAACTCAAACTCAGAAGAAACAACCAATGGTAGCTAACAAACTGTCAGGACAGGAAGCTGGTTTGCTTCCATGCTCACTTATGTAAGTGCAGAGGAAATGGCAGCCTCTGATTGGGAACCTTGGCCACCTCCAAAATTTCATAGTGACTCAGATGAATTAGGATTTTGGATGACAGCATAGCCTAGTGGTTTCTAGAGAAACAACAGACTGTGGTTTCTAGCATTTTTTTTCCAGTAATGCCTTCCTAGGAATTCATGGAATACATGTCTATGATTTTCTACCTGTAGTTACTTTTGACATCACTTTCTTGGTGATTATATATGAATAAACACATTTGCAGAAATTGAAATCCTTTCCTGAAAAGAGGAGAGAATAAGTTTACTTGATATGCATTATTGATAAATTTGTTCAGCTTCAGACTGATTTCTAAAGGTAGGCATGGGTGCTTGTCAACAACTGTCTAAAATAGCCAACTGCTGTGTCCCTGAGCCCTCTTACATCTTACTGATTTCCAGAACAGATTGAAACAATTATTTCTGAATTAAATTCTTTCACTTGAATCATGTGCTAGATCATGCACACACATACATTTATCTCTGTATTTGTACGTGTTTAATTGAATATGAAAACTGACCTACTTCAAAGTATATTAGCTCAGAGCAAGCTGGTTCTGTTGTTCAGCAGGGACTAGCAACAGGGTACAAAGTGGGTAAGGAGAGCATGATGCCTGAGCCCGAAGTGCTGGGTTGCCTTAACTGATTCCTGCCTCATTGGAATTGGTTGCAGTACCATCATGAGGAAAGACTCAGAAAGAATAGGCGACTATTAATGAGTTCCAAGTGCCTTTTTATGGCTAGTTAAAGTTCTGAAGTGTGCAGGCTAACATATTATCAAACTGAGTCTTAGAGGATATAGTCTAAAACATTATCAAATTCTCTGTACTTTAAAAAATAAGACAATCCCCTTGTTATTTTTGGAGAACTTCAGAAGAGGAAAAAAAAACAAAACAACAGTGAATTGAATCAGAAAGAGATGTTACTGGGAACAGACTTGGCACTTACATACACACTTCTGCTGTTATCATGGTATTGGTAAAAAAAAAAAAAAGCCACTAAAGAAGGAATGGTTTCCTTAATATGTGGCATAAGCCATTACTAAGGTGCACAAATTCTTCATTCTCCTTGGCAGAGAAATCTCTTTCATTTGAATTCCTGGAACAGAAGCTTGTGTGCTCTTGAAACCAGTCGATATGATTAGACTGTGACATGACATTTGTTTTCCCCCTTTTTGAGGCAGGTATCCTGGAAGGTCAGGGACTGAAAATCCTTGCAGAGTTAATGGCTATAGCAGAAACAGTAAATTCTATGGAATTGCATTCCCTTTCTGGTTTCTTTTCTTCCCTGACACTGGGAAAAGAGTGTAAAGATAAAGAAAGTCTGAGTCTTTTTGTATCTGCTGATGCCAATACTTAGGCTTTGACAGCTTCTAAGGTGCTTATATGCACCTATATTACTGCAGAACAATGATTTGCAGCATCAAGATTGGAGTTAGTTTAAGAAACGGTGGCATGAGCTTCAGACATAGTCTGTGCTTTCAACAGTGATCTGCAGATGAAAAGTGTCAGGTAAGGAGGATGCATAGGTTTCAGTGGAAGCAAAGTAGATAGGTGGCTTGCCAGATTCATGACATAAAATACTGTAGCCTGTACCATGACTAAAATCTTGGTTCAGGAAAAGAAAGACTGAGCTATTCATCAAACAAATAACATGTTATAGTTAACCTTATTTTCAAGGATATTGTTCATATTTGCTTTTGAAAACAGTGACACTTAAAAGTACTTTCACTACTGATGCCAGGATAAGCAGTGTGCAACTGCATGCAGCGCACACATACACAGATCATGTCCAGATAACATTAATGTTCGGTTTTAAATAAGTGTCTACAGAAGACTATATACCTTTCATACAATTTGAATGTCTTCATGATAATCTATCTTAAAAGCATTTTTATTTAATAAAATACAGAGTCAGCTCAAGCAAGCACATGCAATGAGAGACAAAAGGATTGGTGTTATTTAAAACTTGAGCACAGGAAGATCTGAAGAGGATACTGAGTGAAATTCAATCCAGTAAAGTTGATACATTCTTGGCAGCTATTTAAGATCCTCCAGGTTGAATGCTATGAGAAGGGTGATGGATCATTTCTAAGCTTCCAGAAACCTCAGCTCAGATCTTCAGACTGAATCTGGAAAAATGATTACCTGAATGTCCTCCAAAACAACACAGGGCCTCTGCTGAAATTCTTTTCTTTTATTATTTATAGATGGGAAACAATATCTGCTAGTATCAAAATGTAAATCAGTTTATAACCATACAGAGTTGGAGGACAAACACGGTGAGTATTTCAATTGTCTTTCCTCATAATGTTAATGTAGTCTTTTTTTCTTAGTTTTCCAAGAACACAGAAGCAAATTATGTCATAATGGAAAATAGCTTTCAAAACCAGCTGCTCTGTGATGCAGTTCTGTCGCAGAACCTGTAGAACGAAAATGGTTTTTAAAGACTCTCACCCCTTGTCAAAGCCATAATTTGAAGTGAACTCTGAATATACTGAATGGAAAGATGTGACACCAACTGATGAAACAACAACTTTAAAATGATAGCTGGTGTCAATTTGAGTTGGCAAAATGTCAGTTTCTTGACTTCTAACGACTTGGGAAGAGCTGGGCAACATAAAAAAAAAAAAAAGGCCATCAACAAGACTAGAGGATCTGGAACATGAAATTATCATTGTTTCCACTTACGTTTGGGACCAGCATAGTCCAGTTTACACTAATTTCCTTTAGATTTGTTTGTTTATTTATTTATTTATGTTATGTTAGTCAAGCCTAATGGCTATCATTCTCAAGCTCAAAATGTAGCATTTGCCTTTTTCAGTACAAAGGAACCATCTGTTTTTTCTCCTACACAAATAATACAAAGAAGACATACAACTTCTGTAGCTTTATCTAAAAGGAAAACAACGTTTGCTTTCCCCAAGTGACATAAATAACATATTGAAAAGTATGCGAACATTTTCAGCATATATGTGGTTGAGTATCACAGAAAATTAGTTTAGTACAGTAACAAAAATACAATTTTCTGTTAGTAAGAATTAAGGTTTATACTGCCTTTTCTCTTAGCACACTGTTACTGTTCTGTGATTTCCTGTTTCAGTGAATGCTGGCTTTAACAGATAAGAAAATGAGAGGGAATCGTTTTACCCAGACTAAATCCTTCCTATTTCAGTCAATTTGCATTGTAATTCCTACCCTTTAATTGTTTCTCCTAACTGTGAACTCCTGTCAAACCAAGAACTGATGTTATTGGGAATATTTCTTAAGAAGGCACTAGAAGTTCTTCTTTATGTGATCACAACAGGACATTGCTCGTACCTGAGCTTGCAGTTACCTACCTGGCACTGACTGTTTTCTTGAAAGAAAAATCCAAAAGAAAGAGAGCATGATAGGCATGTTTTTGCAGGTAATCAGGGTTTGATTTGCTTCTAATTGCAAAGTTTTGCAATCAGAACATCACCCCCCCATTCTTTGTGCAATTTCTCCCTCTGAACATCAGCATTGATGAATTTCTGTGTGCTGCTGTTTTAACTCTGCGTCTTGGATCAGAGTATCTGCACTACTGTTCCTTGAGCAGGGCAGCAAGGGTGGGGAAGCAGCAGGGCTACAGCAGATTACTGCAGAAGCTCAGCCTAAAAAGCTGAGTGTCAGCAGACAATTTCAAGTCCAGAGATACCAGATTTCAGCTGCCCTAGTTTATGAACAGGGTGGGAGTTTGGTGACAGTAAACTGGGCAGGTTGCTGAGCAAGCAAAAAAGCTGTTAGAGGAGTGGCTTTCCACATAAGAAGCACAAGTTGGCCCAGAACAGAGCTCAGGGGAGTCCCTCAAAGACAGAGGCCCTGTAGAGAAATGGGAATTACGCATTTGGGAAAGAAAGAGCTTGAGGTCTAGTGGAAAGACTCCTGGAAAATAACAGAAGCCAAACAACTTTCTGCTGTACCTGGTCTTACCACACTGCTGTGGTTTGACTGTAAATCTTGCAATATTTGTAGATTTTCTTGCTATTTTTGGGAACCTGTTCCGGTTGGAGAGGAAAACTAACTCTAGACAACCCCTCCATTTTTTACCCTGATCCTGCAAAAACTCTGGGAAGTGTGGCTTGAGAGTTCTCTGAATGCTCAGAAGTGAGAAAATGATGGAGAAATAATTTTAATTTTTTAAATTAATCCAGTTTTGAAGATCCTGGACTGGGGAGACTTGGAGTCAACTGTAAGATCTCTGCTTTATGAGGTCAGCTTCTTTTGGGAACTCCTTGTAGAGCTGTGTGCACTTGAATTAAAGATACACTTTCCTGGGGGATCTGATAGGTGTTTATAAATATCTAAAGGAAGATGGGAGGTAAATGGATGAGGGCAGGCACTTCTCAGTGATGTGTAGTGAAAGGACAAGGAGCAATGGCCTAAAACTTGGGCATAGGAAGTTCTGTGCAAATATGCAGAAGAACTTCTGTGCAGTAAGGATGATGGAGCAATGGAATAGGTTGCCCGGAGAGGTTGTAGAGTCTCCTTCAGCAGAGAGACCCATCTGGATGCCTACCTGTACATCCTACTGTAAGGTACCTGCTTTAGCAGGGGGCATTGAACTTGATGATCTCTTGTGGTCTCTTCCCACCCCTATGATTCTGTGATTCTGCTATGTGGAAAAGGTTACAGTTGCCCCAGCAGCAAGCCTGAATCTCTATCTTGTGGCTGCACACAGAGCCGATAATGGGATTCATAACATCTAACTGAGCAGATGGACTGGGTTCATGCCTGCTGAATTAACCACACTACTGCAGATGCAAGGGAAGAAATTCCTACTGTACTGCCTTTTTCCTCAGTTTTTGCTTTCTTTGGTTATAGTATCCCTTCAAGAGAACATGGAAGAGAGCAGAAAAGAAAGCTTATTTCAATGTGTTGTTTCCAGGCTTTTGTGTAGAGATTTATTTCTGGATTGGATTTCTGAATTATCTGTTTTTTTCACTTTCTTATGACAGATGCAGTTAATTCAGGGAGTGCTAGGTCAAAACGTGGAGCTGGTGAAATATGAGTTTCTTGGTTGCATGGCATTTCCTTGTTTTCTTTCGCTGACTTCTTGATCCCTTATTTATTTCCAAAAAGAGTTTTGATAAAGCAACATGATCAATTGACATGTGAGCTAGAAAAAGGGGAGAACATTTGCCTCCATGAAGTAGGAGCATCTGCAGGCTCCAAATATCAGCAGAAGCATTTAAATATCTACAGAACCTTGGCTCAGCAGATTTTCAAGTGAGGTTGCTCAATATTTGGATTAAATCTTGGTGGGCAGAGACCCTCAAGAACCCTTATTGACTTCTACGCCTATAGTATTTTGTTCCTGGGGCCTATGGCACTCTTGGAGACTGCCATGATGTACATATTTGCATTCTTGGTGCACAAATCAGATATCCATAGATATGCCAGCCTGCAAAAGGACTGAAGAAACAAGGTACTCTGTTCTGCTTCCATCCCAGCTCACAAGTCAAAGACTTGCTTTAGCTGGTGCTGGTGGTTGATGGCAAATGTGTGTGGAATGAACATCCTTAAATAGATGCATTCACTGCCATTTCTGTTTCACTGCCCTGAAATCTGGCCCTTGTTTGCACTTGACAGACAAAGTGGCTCCTGAACAACTGTTACTTGAGAGCTAAATATACAGTCTTACCCACACAGAGTGCTGCCCCGCCTTCAAGACTGCAGTACAGCCTTCAACCCCCCAGAGACAGGAGAGGCAACAAAACAAAGAGATATTGTATAGGTAGTAAAAACACTTGAGAGACTCTGTGGCAGAGAGGATTACATCCACGCTGTGTCTTGAGGCAAACAACTTGAGAAAAGATGATTCTTACACAAGAAGTGTAAGTTACAGGATAAGTGAATCTGTGTTTTGATTTTCCCTTCAAATGCAGACTGCAAGACATCACCATTTACAGAAGGAGGCTACTGTCATCATTTGGAGAGTATAACAGAAAATGCATCCCAAATAGAGACAGAATGGCTTTTCGGCCTGGCAGAGCCCTGGCTCACACTGTTTCAGTGGCGAACATCCAGGGTGATAATCCCTGCAAGCAATCGCTTAGCTGGTGCTGATCCTCCAGCAGGCTGTTGGAGCAAAGGTTATCAGGTGAAAGTAGAACTTAATTATTTTTTTTAATAAGTGGAAGATTTATGGGTGACAAGAAAGGATTTTATAACCTATTAAAAGTAGCAGTTGCACTTGTATTGAGCATATGCATGCCTTTGGCATTTTGTTCTAATGACTAAGAGACTTCGGCTGTTAGACTGATAGGAAGGAGGTTAGGGAGGGGAGAGTTGGATCAACATTTTGCTGGTCTGCTTTATAATACTGGAATTTATCTTCCAGATGTACATAGGTCACTCTGAAAGTAATGCCTTCTGTTTATTTCCATGGAAACTCAAACAGTCACAAAGAGCACAATAACACTTGTTTATAGAGCAAATTCTCAGCTACAAAACACTATTTTTCAATATAGTCATTACTGTTAGCTATGCATTTTCACCATTGATGAACAGCAGCCTTTGTGCCACACTCATAACAATCTGCCTCAGAAGAGGTGACTCACTGTTTCATAGAGACTATGCCAGTGTCATAGCTAGGAAAATGTTGCCCACACAGTCCAACTCTCACCAACTCTTGTCCTCTCTTTGGTCTCCGTTAATGTTCAGCAAGTGTGGACGAATGTCAATAAGCGCAACTTTTTTCTGTGTGGAGGAAAAAAATGCACTTGTATGTGCTTCCATATCTGATACCATTTTGTCAGACTGCCCTTCTGCTGCCATCTGTCACACTGCAACAAAATGTAATGGAATGTTGGTGGGAAGATTCAGCCCCTACTGCCATACCACCAACATCTACCTCGGAAGTCTTGAACCAATAAAATAGGAAGCATTACTTTTGGAGCAGCTCTTGTATCAGTTATTCTCCCTTTTTTTTAGGTAAGTGAGGAACTCCAGTGAGGCCTACAAGTGTGAAGAGAGAAAATGGCTTCAGTCTGTCATTAAAGGCAGAAGTTTATTTTAAAGATCACATTTGAAACGTGGGTAAGGAATTAATTATGCTGTTAGCTGACTGATAGCTTATTGATTAGCAGTTCCTGCCTTTCCGTCTTTTAGGAATTATGCTGCTGGCTTCCTTTCTTAAAAGCTTCCTATCACTGCTGTTCTTTGGGATTTATGTGTATATCTCCATTAAGGCTCTTATAGCTTATCTGATGCATGTGCTTGATCTGCTATCTAACTGCTGGCTCTATTTACTAATTTTACTATGACTAGGCAACAACAAAAAAAAAGCCAAACCAAAAAAAGTGTTATTCCTCTCTTTCTCCACATTTTCTCAAACAGCATATTTACCACTTCTGCAGCCTCTTTGAGCATGAGAATTTTAGTGGCTGAGACACAAGATTTATACTGGTAAGAAAAAGACTTAGGGCTATACTTTTGTTAGTCCCAGCAGAATTCAGAGCTGTCTTCATAGACCACAGAACAGTGTTTGATGTGAAAGTGCTACAGCACGATTACAATGGAGTCTTTTCCAACGTATCAGCATTTTTTTTATCAGAAGATTTCTACGTTATTGAGCCTCTGGGAATACAGCTGGAAATTACAGTCATGCCACTGGAAATGTGCCCAAAGATCTGATGTCACATAAATGTAGGAGTGAAAATTGTCTGTATAGGGGTGAAGCCAAATAGACAAAGTTCACTGTAGAGGTTTTAAGGCAGCAGTGGGAAACATGCACCCAGGGTATAAGCTGGTGGGCACATTTCCTCTAGCGCTAGCCAGGATGACTGTGTAGAGTCATCTAACAACAATTCTGCTGCTTTGCAAGCTTTGTTTGGTCTAGGCAATAGTAAGACCTTACTTCTTTGTGCTCATCTCAGAGGTAGTGTGAACTTCATGGGAGTTCACATACATCCAAATACTGTGCATAAAGAGCATAAAATCATCCCCCACATTTGTTAGATGCAACAGTCTATTGTGCTGGAAAGAGATGTTTCTTTCCAGTCCAGTTGCTTAGCATTTCCCAAAAGCATAAAGCTATTTTTGCTGGGAAGTTTTTCTTTCCTTTTTGTCTTCCACTTGTATGAACTCACAGATTCTTTTACATCCAATTATAAAAAAGGAAACTGTAGGAAATCCTGGTTATGATGATGTTTGCCAATATCTTACAGTAGTCTAGGGCTACATATTTCTTCAGTTGATTAGAGAACGCAAAATGGAATGTGGATAAAGAGTGTATAATGAGAAACCCTCATTTTCTCCCCTCCTGACCACACAGCATGCGCTATTCTCTTAGGGCATCCTAGGAGCTACTTTATGTGCTGGGTATTGGTTTAGTTTTGTTCCATTCCTCTTCCTTTTCTCTCTTTGAAAGATTTTTTTGTATATATGTGAGTAACAGTATATAGCATTTAGCTGCAAGCAGGATCAACTACCAGTGGCCTCTCAGGCTACAAGATACAGAAATGGTAATAAAGTGATACAGAACTGAAAGAAAGTCATTGGTAACTTAAACAACAAGCAATGGAACTGGCTTGCTGGCCAGCAGCAATTCCGTATTGCTTCTGATACTAGTTTATTGTAGATAATGTACTTACTTATTAAAAAAAGGAAAGGACCTTGCTGAGTCAGAATTTTAAAGAAAGTTGGAATGATCATACACTGCTAGGTGGATTTTGCCACTCTACCTACAGGTGGGTAACAGTTGGCAGTGGTAGCATACAGCAATTGACTTTTACAAAAAAGAATACTGTACCAGAATGGTGACTGGTAAAAGCTTGGCTTCCATTAAGCAGTAGGAACTGCTTCTTGCTGTTCTGGGCAAAAAGGTTTTGTATAATTAGAGTTGTAATTAGAAATGCCAGACCTAATGTTCTGTTGCCTTCTTTGGTTTGAGGACCATGCAAAAAACATTCACATCTGACAGAAGTTTGCACCTACTAATTACTTGTGAAAAGGTTTGGATGAAAAACAGAGCCTCAATCTTCCAGTAGAAGGAAAGGCAATTAAAAGCGAAAAACGACCATTATGCTATTAATTTCTCTGGTTCATCTGTGCCATTACCACACTGTTATCACTCAAACAATATTTGCTTATTAGCGACATTAATTCTGACTTTTATTTATTCAAATGTCTCTGAACATAGCTTTGTCTTAACAGTGATGAAAAATGGGAATAAATTGTATTATAATGAAAATAAGACTTGAATGCCAACTGACAAATAATTCTGTCCATCTTTTCAAAATGTTCTGTGAGGCTAGGAAAGACAGATTTGAGGGTTACTTTAATTGAAAAGCTTTCACTGGTTTGTCATTTCCTCTTGAATCAATAGCTCTTGCTGCCAACCACAGAAGTTAGTTAACAGATGCTGTCACACAAGACTATTGTGACTTACCAGTTATGCAGAAAGTTTGAAACTTTTTCTCTTTCTTTTCATGAAGATTTATGCACACTTAAAACAAACTTGACAGTGAGCTTAGGTTACCCAATGTATTATATTCAATAATAATAATAATAAAACCTGCAAACTTTACTGTAGGTGATAAAGCATATCTAAAAAGCTAATTACATTTTAGAGGACCCTATTTCTCTCAGCAAGTGAGGAAGGGAACCGTCAGGAATTACTGACCCTAATTAGGCAGTGTGGGCATTTAAAACTTGTTGGAAGTCAGAGAATATATGACAGTTGTAAATACTGAGGATAGCACGGAAGTGATCATTCTGTGATTGTGTGATTGTACTACTAAATGAACAGAATGATCTAGGCTGTAAATGACGAAGTCCAACCATCAAACTGACTTACTGAGTCCTATCACTGAACTATGTCTTTTTGTACCACATCCACACTTCTCTTGAATTTCTCCAGGGGTGGGGACACCACAGCTTTCCTGGGCAGCCTGTTCCAATGCTTAACCACTCTCTCCATGAAGAAATTCTTCCTAACAACTAATCTAAACCTCTCTGAGACAACTCGTGATCATAGTATCACACTGGATCAGTAATATCTACTTTATTCATCTGTACAGTGGCAGGGTTTACATGTGTATCTTGTAACACTTGGCATTTTTGTTAGAATTAAGAGTCACCTACACTGCTAGTGACAGACTTTTGCTACTCCTATTGTGATTTCTTTTGCTGCACACATGGTTACAGTTTTACTGAAAAATGTACAAATTTAAGTTGCGATATATGATTGATGATTAGGATAAAACCTTAGTTATAATCAGTAGATATCTATGACCAATAATGGTCTTAAAAGGATATACTAAATTCAGAAATGAATTAAGACAATTTTCATTTCTTTTATGAATTTTTGGAGTCCTGTCCTCAAAGAGCAGCATACTGGGTTTTTGTTTATTTGTTTGCTTTTTAATGTAGTCCTGGAAGGTAAGCCTCACACAAGATTTTCCACAAGAAATTTGCCTGGCTTCTTCTCCTTCCAAAAGGCAAGGGTGATGGTGATAGACACAATTTCATGTTTTTCTCTATAAAGCAAATAGAGTTCAGTCATGTTAAAACATGGTCTGTTCATCTGTAGAAATAGTTCTCAGGTTGGAATCTTTTGCGACTTCATATTGTTACAGGGAGCACTGTCACTGCTGGAGCTGTGTATGGCATGTTCTATGCTGAGTTTCTCATGTCAAGTGAAGCAGGTGATTGAATTCACCAGGCTGTCTTCAGACCAATTTTTCTGCCGCATTAAAGTGACATTCACTGTAATGAAATGTTGGTCTTCGCTGAGAACACTGAATGGTGCAGTCTGATATCCAAGCTGCTTTACAGTACATGCAGAGCATGTACTTTTTCTTTTTTTAATTCTTATTCCTAGCATGGTTGTTTATGTGGGGTTAATTTTCCACTTGGTCTTTTTTCAGCACAGTTTCACCTATGGAGCTGAAAAGACACAAGCATTTATCTTTTTAGATACTGGGCGATAAAAATAACATAGGAATATCAAATCTCATTAGGTTTCTGATACCAACAGCTATACCAAGGAACAAATCCACTTTCTCTTCCCACAAAAGCTCTGTACGTATGCAATCACTTATTACATCATTCCTGATACAATTTAAATAATAGTTCACTTTCTTTTCCCAAGTTTTGAACTTTCATCTTTTAAATCTGCTTCCTACAGTAAAGTATACTAGCTGTATACATGATTTTACTGTGAAATATTAAACTGGAAAAAAAATTTTGAAATATACAAATATTTTCCTTAATATCCACTCCTAATTCAAAATCAGGCTCATCTCGAATCAATTTTATTTATATCTTTGTAGTTAGTCCCAAAGGGCTTTTTGCAACCTAATTTTTCTTTGATTTATTGATCGTTTTACAAAACTGGAGATGTTTGGTTGTTCATCCAAGCTAGCTTGGATGTAGAGTTCATAAATTTGTGAGCTCTATTGTCACACAAACAGTTGACTTCTACGATACATTTGGAAATTGCAGTCCTAAACTGTATTATAATTCCTTTTGTGTCTGGTTAGTTGTCAGAAACACTTTAAACAGAAGAACCATGAAAAACAAATACTGCAAATACTGAATAAACTTCTATGCACAAGTGTTATCTGTAAATAGAAATACCAGCATATAACAAAGGGCAGCAACTCCCAAGTACCTAAGCACTTACAAAATCCAAACTTAGTTTTCACAAATGTTTGCCTGGTATCAGTGTCTCAGCCGGCAGTTCAGACTTCAAATGTCTACACTACATTTTATTGTCACGTAGTCCTGAATTTGATATTCAAAAGCTACTGTAAGCTACAGTGCCTCCTGTCTCCTTCATGAACAAGGCTTCCGTAGATGGAAGAGGAATAGAAGTGTAGCTGGGTGAAAAGGCTGACGTGCCCTGTTACCTTTGAAGATGCTTTTTCCAAGAAGTGGGGCACATTGCCAGATTCCCTATGGATAAGTTAGGTCATATCTATGAACTGAGTAGAGAGTGCTGAAGGCACTTTCATCTCATATGTTTCACAAGTAGTAAATCCATTATGAAAGGATTAAGCAGTTTAGCCATCATCCCCCTTATAGCAGATTCCACTTTTATTGTAGAAATTCTTGGAAAGAATGTCTTATGTGAGTGATACACAGTGGTTACACCCAGTTGACAACATCAATTTAAAAAACTCAGTCATGACACCAAGATTGCTGTTCTTCCATAAGTACCTCTAGACTAGACAGAGCTGGTGCTCCTTTAAGAAAAAAGAGCTAATTTCAGTCTCATCATTATTCATGTAATGTGCTCTTTTATTTTTGATGAGGAAGGATATCCTCTTAAATGAGTTTTAAATCTCTGTATTTTACTGAACACATGCATAAAATATGGCAGGCTGAGCAGAGAATGACTTGATTCTTATTTTGTGGCATCCTCTTAGAGAAAATGAGTTTGTTTTTCTTTTTAACTTTTGCTTTGATTTATGGCATACTCAGTGTGACTAAGGATCTTGGTTAATTCTGGCTTGATCATATCTACATGTGATTCACATAATTTATCCAAATTTAGAGCAGCTACAACAGGGCCAAAGAACTGATATTAAAAATACATTCATCTAAACCTTTGGCATTACTTTGATACATGCATTTAAGCACTGAGCTGTTGGTCATGCAAAATTCAGGCAGATGTGATTATGAGGTTGTCTTGTCTCTCCAAACTAAAAATATGAAAAGTTTTAATGTATAATTTATTGTAGTCAAAACAAGGTGCAGT